CGCGCTGAGAGTTGCATTCTCCAACTCCAGCTTGGAGGAGGCAGAGGAAGGCTTCCTGGAAGCTGTGTCCACCCTGAAGTGGGACCCATGACTGAGCATGAGGAAGGTGAACATAGATGAGGAGGAATAATCGTGAAGAATAACCAAAAGATCCCTTTCCTGCATGGCCCTGGTAATGGGGTGCTGTCACTCAGCAGTTCCAGTGATGACGGGTGAGCTAGAAGGTTGGACAGGGGTTGAACCTGATTCAGAGAGACCTCAGAAATCTTACTAAACTCTGAAATATTCATTGGTAATAAAATTCCACAAAAAGTTAGAATGAATTTGAAAACAACTGTCAAGTGTGTGTGTGTGTGTATGCGTGTGTGTGTGTGTGTGTGTGTGTGTGTGTGTGTGTCAGGGCATGCATGTGTGCCAGTTCAAGTACATGTGTGTACATGTGCATGGAATTCAGTCAGCAAGCTCAAGGATCCAATTCTCTCCACCTCCCCAATACTAGGATTGTAAACACCAGCCACAGCACCCAGTGTTCTGGGAATCAAACTGAGGTCCTCAGGGCTCCAAGACAAGCATTTTGTCAAGCAAGCCATCTCACAGGCCCTATAATAGGCATTTAATAACAACAGCATTAGCAGACATGAAAAAAAAACCCAGTGTATATCACATACATGGTATACCCTACAGCGTTTGTTAAATATAAGAATGTATGATTTCCCCCCCCGTGGCTTTAAATGGGGAGTGTTTGACCAGGTACTTCCCAGGGATTTCACTAGCTGTTCTGTTGCTTTGGCATAAACTTATAAAGGCATTAAAGTGTTATGAATCAAACACTAAGAAAATAGGTCTGGGCAGGATGGTCTATATCCTAATTCCAGCACTTAGTGAGGAGAGGCAGGAAAATGGTCAGGTTCAACCTGGAGCCACATAACAACACCTTGCATTAAAAAAATAAACTAAATAAAACAACATATTCCAACTGCTTTTTCTAAAACATAATGTAATGTAACCAAATATAATTGTCTAATGTTCTGCTTTAATTGAGTATTTTCTGTCAATAGGACACCAGATCCTTATGCCAATAATAGAAACAAGAAGAATCCACTCATCTTACCTTCAAGACATTTAAAATCTGGGAAAAGGGTCTGTGGAGGCAGCTCAGATGGTAAAGTGCTCACCACAAACACGAAGTCATAAGTTAGGATCCCCAGAACCCACAGCACTAAGAAAAACAGACATGCATGTGTTCCTGCATAAACATACACAAATACTCCACACGTGCACACAATAACTAACAATAATAGTAATATAAATGAAGTCTAAAGGGGGCAATATATTTAAATATAAAAAGTGGGTCAGAAAGCAAGGGAACGGAAGGGCCAGGAGATATAAAAGGCACAGAAAGGACAGGAATCAAAAGCGGACTCTGGGTGATCAGAACTGGGAGCTCATTCACACTTAAAAACAAAAACAAAACTGTTTTGACAAGGCTAGTCACAGTGGCACACACTTTGATCTCAGCACTCAGCAGACAGAGGCAGGTGGAACACTGTGAGTTTGAAGCCAGCCTGGTCTACATACAGAGCTCTAGGCCAGCCAGGGATGCATAGGTAGACCCTGTCTTGTTTTAGTTTTTGTTTTCTATGTGCTCTGACAGTTTGGGTTCACAGAGATTATGCTTCCAGAAGTAGTTTCTGAGCTGAGCCTCGGAAGATCTAGGTTCTTCCAGAGCAAGGCAGTGAGAGAGCACTGAAGGCAATGGGCGTACATGGGCAAGACCAGACAGATGCTCTGGTGACAACACACAGGTCAGGAATGCTGACGTGAAAGCCAAGGCTGAACCTACCATCCCAAACCCCGAGTTAGCCTAAGGAGTCTACATTAAGTGGGTAGAGAAAGGGAGCTGGGCTTTGGCTCTCGGCTCCAACATTAATGAGAAGCAAAGTGAACTGAGCATTTCCCAGCCTCACCTTGTCACTGAGGTATAAGTCACCTGCTTTGATGTGGCTTTTAAGATGGAGAGAGGTGATGCACGGCCAGCTCCTCCACGTGACTCTCTGCATCTGAGTTCGAAGCTGCCGCTATAACTAATACTGTTCATAAGTATAAAAGCCGCTACCATAATGACAGTTCTTAAGGAATCTGCCTTACCGCACATGGTAGACAGGAGAAGGGAAAAGCCACGTGTAGGCAACGTTAAGGCAGAGTGAAATCCCTGAGCTAAGGCACTGCAGGGGCTGTGCAAAGCCCAAGAAAGATACTGAGACAAGGGTAAGGAAGCAGGAATGTGGTCTGAACAGTTGTAACTGAGAAGGCAAAACAGAAGTTTCTAGAGAAGGCCAGAAAGCTGATGGCTAAGTGGATTTCGGCAGAATGGGAGTTTGCAGGAAACCGTACAGCTCTTGATTATGTATGAATGGAGAGTGCCTTCATCTTAGCAGCTTCCACAGTCCCTGATGCCTCACAACCCCACTTCCAGGGGCACTCTAATCCAGTCCTCCCTGGGGCTCCCAAAACAGAAATGTCAATTAAGAAAAGGTAGTCCTGCTGAGAAGCTCACTATAAATCACATGGTGGGCTATCCAGACCCTCATGCAGGGAGAAACACCCTACTGCCCCAGAACTGGCTGGACGCAGAACGAAGAGCAGAGGGGATGTCTGTGTCCCTCCTCCTGCCCTCTTTGCCACTGGTCCTTTAGGAGACAACCATACCATCTCTTTCCGAGCCTCTCCACAGGAGTGTAATGCAAGGAAAGAAAGAGCAGAAATGACCTTATTCTGTGGGAAAGTCGATGCAGAGTCTTCTGGGGTGAGTGGTCTCTGCATTTGAGTAGAAAGGAATGACCCAACTTTCCAGCACTTTCCCATCAAGATGAAAAGCATCAGTACTCAGAGCTCATTGACTACAAACAGCCTGGTTGCTTTTTGGATTTGATTGAAAGCAGGATTTCCTCCTATTAAAAGCCCCCAATCGACCATGCCCACAAACCGTATACACTCAACCACAAAAATCAATGGCAGTGAGAGCCTCGACCATTCAGAAACAGTTTACCTGGTCTATTTGTGCTGGCACCACAAAGCTTACAGCCCTGTCTCAGACATCATTTGAGCATTTTACCAGTGAGCTGCATCACTGGGTTAACATTGATTAAATAGTGAGACAAGAGACATCAGAGTATTGTGGGAGGAGCTAAGGGTTTAGAATCAGAAAGATAATGAAGAGCTCTGGGAATTACAACTGACCCCAGGCAAATTCCTGAACTCAGCTACAGTTTCCCTGGGTGGTGAAGCCTGTCAAGATGGTGAAGATTAGGACATAAGACATCCTGTGCACCCTGGCCTACAAGTATTAGTCATTACTGAAAACAGATCTCAGGGCTAAAACAACAACTCTTTTAGCTGAACAACATGTCCATTGACTTTTTTACATGTCCATTTTTACAACGGAAATCATATTTTCATCTCTTAGAAGTAACCCAACACATGACAAAAACAGGCTAGAATCATAGTACTAGAATGATGTTTACCTTGGGACAATTAGTTAACCCACAATTTCCAATCCACTAAAAATGTCTAGCTTGGGTCAGGGAGATGGTTGAGTGGGTAAAAGGCAGTTGTTATCAAGTTGATTCCCAGAGTTTGATTACCAGATCCCACAGTGGAGAGAGAGAAAAAAACTCACCAGTAAAGTCCTTGAACCACCAATCTATATACACAAGCACAAGTTTGTAAACACACACACATAAATCTAAGGGGGGGGGGCAAAAAATCTAGCTAATCAGAATAGTGTAATGTTAAATGATGCAATCTATACAAAGCCAACACCTCGATGGTTAGTGGAAGCGCAACAGCAGTAGCTATTGCCATTTACTAATTTTCCAAATAAAAAAAAGGAAAACGATGAAAATCAAAACCAGCTGTGAAATATTCTTGTAACCATGGAGAAGTTTGCATTCACTCATTCCATAAAATGTGTTTTGTGACCCTGCAGTGTGGTAGGCTGCATTCTCAACACTGAAAGCTAGAATGAGGAACAGGACCAAACTTCCACTTTCGGAGGACTTGCATCCTAGCAGCAGAAGGAGGCGGGCACTTGGAAAAAACAAGATCATTCCAGTTTTAAGCTCTGTGAAGAGCCCCAAACAGGACAATGTGGAGTTGATGGACAGGATGGACATGTAGCTCAGATGCACTGCCGTCTGCTGACATCTTCGGTGGCCAGAAAGAGGTTCTCTTAGTATGATACTTTGAATGTGGGATGTAGATGGTCAAAAGTCAGCAGCTACAATATAAAATACAGTACCCAAATGCCTCAGCCCGTAATCAGAACCTAGAGCACTGCAACATCCAAGGGGACTCACTGTCCCAGTGCAGTTCCCAGACACAAGGTGACAGGCAACTTTACATCCCTCTCAGAGACAACAGTCAGGGAGGCACCCAGCTGGTTCAGAAGTGTATGAAGGACACAAGGCAATGCCACGGGTTACGCCAGAGGCAGCAAACGCTCGCTGGGCTCCTGAAGCCCCAAGGGGAGGGTGTTCTTGGTCCCCAGTGCAGACACCGTGGAGCATGGCGACCTGGCTGGTGAGACCAGAGAGCAAGGCGCCTGCACCACCTGACCCTAGCTCGCGGATGTGGCAATGCCTCCCTCCTGAACCAATTAAACAGGTTTCCTGTTCCATGCCAGGCTGTGCCCGGGACAGCTCCACCGCACGGCATCCTCCTGCACCGGCACACAAGCTCCCGCGCTCCCCTCCTTCTCCGGGTCCATCCCGGCGGGGCTGTCACTCGAGGGGCACAGGTCCAGCATAAGCAACACCAAGGTGCTTCCTCCCACAAAACTGGCTCTGACACCGCCGGCGAGTCTCAAGGCTGCGCGGTGGGCCGGGGCTAACTGGGAGCAACACAGACATATTCGGGACCCTAGACTGGCAGAGCGCCTGAACCTTCCCAGGGCCTCCACCACACCTCAACCCCAGCCCGCCGGACGCCCTGCTGCTCACCTGAGCTTTCCGCAGCTGTGGACGCTGCGTGGTTCCCCAGTGCAGGCTTCAGACCGGGAAGGACGCAAACCCGGCTTCTCCGGTCCCTGCAAGGTTCAGCCGACGGCAGTTCCAGCACCAGCCGCAGGAGACTGGGGCGCCGAGCGCCACTCGCCGACAGATGGTGGGCGGAAGCCCGCGCTGCGCACCGACTTTCCCGGCGCGGAGGTCCGTGGTCCTCTGCCACTGGCCGGCGTGCGATCCCGCGACCAGTTCTCGGTACTTTACCCAGAACTTTAGGGCGCGCGCCGCGGGGAGATTAGCTGAGTCGCTGGAGCAAGGGGAGGGAGTTAGGAGGAGGAGCCTGTGTCTTCCTTGGGGGGCGGAGCAGCATGGGGGGGGCTCAGCAGAGTGGCTCCCACTCCCACCAATCAGGAGTCATCCGGGGAAAGGCGGTGGGACGCTGCACTTGGAAGCTGCAGGCGGATTCCGTGACGCCACCCAGGGTTCAGGGCGTGTAGAGGAGCCCAGGGTGGTGGTAGGTGTGGCTGGGCGGGGCAGCAGCTGCCGGCACCCCAGGGCAGTGTGCGCCCGGCAGACTCTCAGTAAATGTTTATTGAATGACTAGGAGGGAGGTAAGGTCAGCGCCGCAGGAGCTGTTTTAAGAAGATTCCAGGAGACTAAAGTGGTCCAACAGGAGAGGATCGCTTGACCACTGAAAAGCCTGAGGATAAATAAGGGGGAAATGTGTGGGGAGCCGAGGAGGGTTAGGCACACGATGTTGAGGGGAACTGATGTGGGAGACTGGGTTCAGACCCCGGGACTCGGCCTCCAGAAGCAGTTGTGCAGACTGGTGCGGGGGCGCAGTGGAGGGGTGAGGAAAGAAGGGTTATTTTGTTCCTACAGTCCGCGTACAAGGGCCAGGAAAAAAGATGCAATGTAGTCGGCGATTAAAAAGCAGGAGTCTCTGCCTAGACGGCCAGACCCATCCCACATCACGGCCCACTTGCTGGAATCCTAGCTTGGATGTCAGCTACTGACAATTAGAGGTCAATTTGCCAGACGCACATGAGTCCGGCGCCTCAGGTGCCGGTGGGCAGGGAATGATGAATGCCAAAAGCAGATGTGGCCCTCAACCTGCAGTAAAGGAACACAAGGTCTCTGCCCTCTCAGAACCTCCATTTTAGAAACGAAGCAGACGATAAACCAAAGAATATACACCGTTGTGAACTGTTAGCACTGAGACATTGGAAGGAGTGATGGGAGCAGCCCAGGTAGGTCCCTGAGGGCCGAAGCGGGAAGGGCGCTGCCACCCTCGGTCTGGGAACGAGCTTTCCCTGCACTCGGCACTGCAGATGCGATGTATTTAATCTCTTTAAGATCCGCCTGGCCTGCCTCACCACGCAGGGCAGTTTAGGTCTTTTGGCTCTGTTGCTGACACTCTAGGCGCTCCAGAATGCCAAAGTACTCCCACCAGCCGCCACTGGTGGCACTAGACATTTTCATTCTGACGCCGTATTAAGGTTTCTGGGGCGCTTTCCACGACTGTATAAACCACGTTTCATTCGCCACGCTTGGATGTTCGCTCTCAGGAACAATCGCTGACGTAGACTCTGGGGCTGTCTGTTTTGGCTCTGGCAGGTGGAGGGGGTTGGGGTGGGGGTGGTGCATACCTAGGACCTCAGATTCCCTAGAGGCTGTGAGCCTTAGCACTCGGTTGGAGATTTCAATTTGAATGACAGGCGGGGCTTCCTACACAGCCCCAAGCCTGCTAGAGTGCGAGCTGCCACCGAGAACCCAAGGCAAGCCTTGCCCACGCCCAGCTTTATTTCTAATAACTCTTTCTCTATTCCTCTCCCCACTTCCAAACCACCTTGTTGCATCTGGACTCTTTTTCCTAAAGAAGACAAGCCTTTTATCCCAAAGGAATTCTTCGATGCAGAGGAATCCAACCTTCAGACTTTGCACACTGAGGTTGTCATCTCCAAAGTTCACAATCAAGATTGTACAATCATGTATAACTATATACATACACACTTGTATTGTGTTGAGCCTGATTCATAGCTACCCTGAGCCCAAGGAGGCGGTAGCCTGTACCAGACGACCTGGTAGCCACAGGTTTTACAGACAGCTACAGTTTTACTGTTCAAACTGGCATCCGGTCCTTGGCTTTTTCTTCTGTTTCTTCCAGGCTGCCTGTGTGTTCTGGTTGGTGCTGGAGGCCATTAATGAGATAGGATGAGAGATTTGTTCATATTCAAACTGCCTTGCCTCCAAGAAAGAGGAATCTCAGTGAGTCTCTTCAGTTTCACTTCCTCTTCTAAATAAGCTGCTACAAATCAAAGGGGGAAAGATTAAAGTTGAAACCCACACAGAGTTAATTATCTTGCAAAAGCTCATTACTGTCATAAAATTAGCTTTCCCCACAGTCTTATTTTAGGGCGATGATCTGAATGTACTTGAGAAAGATCAATGGTTGTATAGTAAGTTTCTAGAGTTCTTTTCTCTGAACAACTGGACATATACTGTTGATCCTAGTAGATGCTCCATCACTGTGGGGGGATTTCTCTGCTATTGGCCTAGTCCTTTTCTTCTTTTACATTTATCAATGGTGTGTGTGTGTGTGTGTGTGTACATACATGTGTGACCCTGCATAAATGTGGAGGTCAGAGGACAACTTGCTGGAGCTGGCTCTTTCCTTCCTAGGGATCAAATTCATGCTCAGTGACAAGTGTCTTCACCCCCTGAGCCATCTCACTGGTCTCTGCTGAATGTCGTTAGCCTCTGACGTTCCTCATAGGTGAGCAGGTGCTTGCCTGGTTTTGCATGTCTTCATAGTAAAAGAAGCTGGTCAGAATGGAGTGTAAGCAAGAACTGCATGGGCTTCTAGAGTTGGACCCCCAGCTTCTTGTCATAACTCCTGGTTAAGCAACCACCATTCCTACTTTGTGAAATGGAAATAGTCATTGTATTTATTGGGCCACTTCAAGAGTTTTGCAATCTGAAAACAATCGCCATGTAGACTAAAACAGAGTCTCCAACCTCAGTGTGATTGACATTTTGGGCCCACAATTCTTTGTTTGTGAGTAGGGATATCTGGTACCTATAAGCTACATCTGTGCCCTCTACCCAACCAGACACAAAGAACACTCTGTCCTACCCAGATGTAGAAACCCAAAGTCCCCAGACATTGTCAAAAGACCCCTGAGGGCAGAAATGGTCCTGGCTGAAAACTACTGACTTAGCACTTAGCCAATGCCACGGATCAGAAGGCAGCAGAAGTGCCTGCTTAGGATAGGATTGTGGCCACGAACCTAGGGTGAATTTTGCTTTCCCAAACCCCATCTTCATAATGGGAATCTTAATAATACCATTTCTTGAGGCTGTCTAAGGATTAAATGTAATCCTGTAAGAGCCATTTGTGAAGTGCCTTGGCATGTGTATACGACAAAAACAAACTGCTGGCCTCACTGTCCTCCTATGGAGAGCAGGCATTGGCCTGCATGGCCTCATTGTCTTCTGGGGAAAAGGCATTGTCACTGTCCTCCTATGGAAAGCAGGTATTGGCCTGCAGGAGCTTACTGTCTTCTTGGGGGAGCATGCATTGGTCTGCATGGCCTCACTGTCTTCTGGGGAAACAGGCATTGGCCCTGTCCTCCTATGAAGAGCAGGTATTGGCCTGCAGGAGCTTACTGTCTTCTTGGGGAAGCATGCATTGGTCTGCATGGCCTCACTGTCTTCTGGGGAAGCAGGCATTGGCCCTGTATACTTTGTTTGCTGCTATTCCTGTTCCTGATTCATGGCAGACAACAGGAGTAAGTCAAAAGCTGGCTTTATCACCAAGTTCAAATAGGGCTCAAAATTCTCAACACTCTATTCTAGGAAACCATCACTGACAGAACAGCATGAGTATATAAGAGAACACTGAAGGACCATCCCGGGGCTAAATGACCTTAACATCCCATCCCAGGGCTGAAGGATCCCTAACAGCGCCAGTCTCCTGCAGTGGTGACCACAAGTGAGAAGGAATACAGCTGATCCTGTCATCCACCTCACCTCTTTTATAGAAGGGGGGGATCCCCAGACCAGAGTTCCAGCATCTGTATCATAATCACACAGCTCAGAGGCTCAGTATCCTGTTCTCTTAAGTTCATTTTGCCATACCCACAATCTAAGGAAGCTGAAAGCATTTTCCTGGCCCAGCGCTTGAGGCACAGGCAGGTGGACCTCTGTGAGTTTGAGGCTAGTCTGGTATACATAGTGAGTTCCAGGACAGCCATGGCTACATAGTGATAACTTGTCTCAAAAAGAAAAAGAAAGGAGCCAGGTGTTGGTGGCGCAAGTCTTTAATCCCAGCACTCGGGAGGCAGAGGCAGGTGGATCTCTGTGAGTTCGAGGTCAGCCTGGTCTACAGAGTGAGTTCTAGGATAGCCTCCAAAACAATACAGAGAAACCCTGTCTCAAAAAACCAAAAAAAAAAAAAAAAAAGGAAGAGAAGAGAAGGAAGAAAAAAGCATGTTCAAAGCAGTGATGCTAGCCCTATTCCTACTCATCATCCTCCTTCACTTTTACATGAAAAAAATGAATTAAAGTATTTTTGTTGCATAGGATCACACTGGAAGTATCACAAATGTGTTAGTAAGCTCATGACCAAAAATGTGCAAGAATTCATCTATTCTTTGATTAAATATAGATCATGCATCACCTTTGTGTAAGAGACCGTTCTTAGCAGACACCTTGTGACATGCAAAGATGGATCAGAGGGTGTTCCTGTCTTTATTTCTTTTACAGTTACCTCCATAGGGCAGATCAAACATGTATATAAATAACTACAATACAAGCTGCAGACTGGAAACTTTCCTGAGAGAGGCCCCAAAAATATGTCCAGGGGGGAAAGGATGAATCATTTTGAGAATTAGATGCAGTGAATTACTTCCGGTGTCGTTTTGTCAACACTTTTAACTTTTGGTTAAAAATGTGTGCTTATTACAGTAAAGCTGTCCCTGTAAAGGAAGTCGCCATATTGTTCGAGTTCCTGGTTAAGATCCAATTCTTCCTTACTGTACTTAGATACTATCTGTGCAGCTTAAGGTCAGAGTTCATTCTAATTCTACATGAGTCATTTGTTAAATCAGACGTCTAACTTTTCTGGAATGCCCTAGCTTGCTCACAAGCATTTTGCAGAACCAGTCTTTTAAGTTTGTTATACAGTGGGAACACACATAAAAATGAACATCACATGTGGCTCTGTGGCACAATGGATAGCGCATTGGACTTCTAGTGATGGAAAAAAAATGAACATCACAGGGACAAAGGGACAGAAAGGGAGTTTCCTTCAGGATTGAGTCATCTCAAAGTACCGACTCTGA